CCTCCTCCTCCTCCTCCTCCTCCTCCTCCTCCTCCCCCCTTCTAGCCCCGATGACGTTCCCTAGTTGGGTCCTGAAACGTCTGCAAGGAAAACCACCCAGCTCAGAGAGCATCCAGGACCACCACCACCCCCGTTCAATCGTCAGTGTCCCGTATTCTATTCAAATTAAACCGCGATTCTCCACCCGGCCCGTCTCTTTTCGAACAGGCCATGGTCTGTCTCAGGACAAACCGCCATGGTCCCAAAAAAAAAAAAGGAAAAATTTTCAGAGTCCCCCTTCCCCAAAAATCAGCTTGGAGACCCACCAGCTCCCTGATAGCTGCAGTTCTCCTGGTCGTCCTCCATCTCCTGCATCATCCTCACCGGCTCGCCAGAGGCATCGCCCAGCTCTTCGCTCGCGGGGTCCTGAGCCAGGATGCCGGGGGGTACTCAGAGGCCAGCCAAACCTGCAGGGGACGGAAGAAGGACCCGCTCAGCTCTGGACCCCCATTCCTGGCCGAAGTGAGTCTGGGACGAGTCTTCTATAAATGTCACTAACTGGGAGTCCTCGGCTTAACGACCAGCGTCGACCCCCCCCAAATGATGGTCACTAAGGGAGGCACTGGTCACAAATACGAGTCGGTTGCCAAACCTCTGAGTTTTGAGCACCTGACCCCGGGACGCTGCGACCGTCGTAAATACGAGTCAGTTGCAAGCATCTGAATTTTAATCACATTAACCCGGACACTGCGACCGTCATAAATACGACTCGGTTGCCCAGCATCTGAATTTTGAGCACGTGATCCCAGGGACGCTGCAACCGTCGTAAATACGAGTCGGTTGCCCAGCGTCTGAATTTTGATCACGTGACTGCGGGACGCTGCGACTGTCGTAAATACAAGTCGGTTGAGAAGCGTCTGAATTTTGATCACGTGACACCGGGATGCTGCGGCCGTCATAAATACGAGTCGGTGGACAAGCGTCTGAATTTTGAGCACGTGACCCCAGGATGCTGCGACCGTCATAAATACGAGTCGGTTGCCAAGCGTCTGAATTTTGAGCAGGTGACCCCAGGGTCGCTGCGACCGTCATAAATACGAATCGGTTCCCCCAGTGTTTGAATTTTGATCACATGACCCCGGGACGCTGCGACCGTCATAAATACGAGTCAGTGCCTAAGTGTCCGAATTTTGAGCATGTGACCTCGGGACGCTGCGACCGTCGTAAATACGAGTCGGTTGCCCAGCGTCTGAATTTTGATCACGTGATCCCGGGACGCTGCGACAGTCATAAATACGATTCGGTTGCTGAGCGTCTGAATTTTGAGCAGGTGACACCCTCCCCGGGGGACACTGCGACCGTCGTAAACGTGATTCAGCTGCCCAGCGTCCGAATTTTGATCGTGGGACCACGGAGAAGCGGCAACGGTTGTTAAACGTGACAAACTGGTCATCGGTTGCTGAATAAACGGTTGTAAGGACTAGCTTTATTTGTTCGTTTGTTTCTCATGTTTAGGCACCACCCAGCCTGAGTGACTCTGGGCGTTGTACAAATATGACATTATAAAATTTACACATGTAGTAGTTAGTCCTCGGCTTACAACGATTTGTTTAGCGACCGTTGAAAGTTCAGAGGAGGGGGGAAAAAAACCGAGCCAAATCTCCTTAGAGTTTGTCAAGGTGAGCCACTTTAAGATGAGGGGACTTCAAATCCCAGAGTTCCCATAACCAGCATGGAATTCTGGGAGTGGAAGTCCCACCCTCTTAAAGCATGGCTGGCTGGGGGCTTCTGGGAGTTGAAGTCCTCCCCTTTTAAAGCATGGCTGGCTGGGGAATTCTGGGAGTTGAAGTCCTCCCCTTTTAAAGCATGCCGTCTGAGGGATTCTGGAAGTCCTCCGCTCTTAAAACATGGAGACTGGGGGATTCTGGGAGTGGAAGTCCCCCGCTCTCAAAGCATGCCAGCTGAGGGATTCTGGGAGTTGAAGTCCTCCATTCTTAAAGCATGCCGGCTGGGGGATTCTGGGAGTGGAAGTCCCCCGCTCTTTAAGTATGCCGGCTGAGGGATTCTGGGAGTGGAAGTCCCCCGCTCTTTAAGTATGCCGGCTGAGGGATTCTGGGAGTGGAAGTCCTCCCTTCGTAAAGACTGCCGGCTGGGGGATTCTGGGAGTGGAAGTTATGGGAAGTCAGAGCCCCAGAAACCAACTTTGCCCCCAAGTCTCTGCCCCCAAGCGGAGAATTTGAATTTAGTTAAGTTATTCATTAGTACCATTTAATACCTTGCAAATCGAAGTAGTAGTTAAAGTATTAGGTTTAATGAATAGTACAATTTTAGCACGAGTTTAGTAACTTGCAAATCGAATGAGTAGTAGTTATTAGGGTTAACGAGCACAATTTGAATAACTTGCAAACGGCATGTGAAGCGAGTGAAATTATGAACGAGTAGTACCATTTTAACAACTTGCACATTGTTTTTGGGGAAGTCAGAGCCCCAGAGAAGGAAATATTAAAAGGGCAGACCGAATAGATTTCCTCAAAAGTTATTTTCAAAAAAGCAGAAACCAACTTTGGCTCCAAATCTATCTCTCTGCCCCAAGCAAGAGCCAGCCCTAGGGCCTATACCAGTGGTAGGCCACCTTGGCTCTTTTATGACTCGTGGACTTCAACTCCCAGAATTCCTGAGCCAGCATGGCTCAGCTTGGAAACCTCTCCCTCTCCCCTCAGCGTGGCTGGCTGAGGAATTCTGGGAGTTGAAGTCCACGAGTCATAAAAGAGCCAAGGTGGCCTACCCCTGGCCTAGGCCTAGGCCGCTTTATGACTCGTGGACTTCAACTCCCAGAATTCCTGAGCCAGCATGGGGGAAACTTTATCCCCTCATGACTCGTGGACTTCAACTCCCAGAATTCCTGAGCCAGCATGGGGGAAACTTTATCCCCTCATGACTCGCGGACTTCAACTCCCAGAATTCCTGAGCCAGCATGGCTCAGCTTTGAAACCTCTCCCTCTCCCCTCAGCGTGGCTGGCTGAGGAATTCTGGGAGTTGAAGTCCACGAGTCATAAAAGAGCCAAGGTGGCCTACCCCTGGCCTAGGCCTAGGCCGCTTTATGACTCGTGGACTTCAACTCCCAGAATTCCTGAGCCAGCATGAGGGAACTATGCCCCCCCCCATGAGTCATGGACTTCAACTCCCAGAATTCCTGAGCCAGCATGAGGGAACTATGCCCCCCTCATGACTCGTGGACTTCAACTCCCAGAATTCCTGAGCCAGCATGGCTCAGCTTGGAAACCTCTCCCTTTCCCCTCAGTGTGGCTGGCTGAGGAATTCTGGGAGTTGAAGTCCACGAGTCATAAAGCGGCCTAGGCCTAGGGTAGGCAACCTTGGCCGTTTTATGACTCGTGGACTTCAACTCCCAGAATTCCTGAGCCAGCCTGGCTCAGCTTGGAAACCTCTCCCTCTCCCCTCAGCATGGCTGGCTCAGGAATTCTGGGAGTTGAAGTCCACGAGGCATAAAAGAGCCAAGATGGCCTACCCCTGGCCTATACGAATGCAGATGTAAAACCATCAGAAAGTTTGGGCAAGACAAAAGAGACTTAAAAATCTGCATGCCCCACCCAAACTCTGGGCGCCATTAGCCCCAGCACCAGGGAAGCCGGATATGATAATAGGATTAAACCACCGATATCGAGGCCTAGAAAAATACTCAAGGTTCATGCCACAGGAACAGGAAACTATGCCAAACAGGGCTAGAGAGGGTATAAAAACCTACTGCCCATGTGCTCAGCCTTTTTTTTCCCCTTCTCCTCTGCCCCTTCTTGCAAGGACCATCTTTCTGCTTCTTCAATAAACTGTAAACCTTCTTCCCAAAGCAGTCGCCATGAGAGTGCGAAAAGGACCCCGGAGGTCCTCTAGTCCAGCCCCCTGCTCAAGTAGGAGACCCTTACAGAATCGTAGCATAAAAAGAGTTGGGAAGGGACCTCGGAGGTCCTCTAGTCCAGCCCCTTGCTCAAGCAGGAGACCCTTACAGAATAACAAGAGTTGGGAAGGGACCTCGGAGGTCCTCTAGTCCAGCCCCCTGCTCAAGCAGCAAACCCTTATAGAATAACAAGAGTTGGGAAGGGACCTCGGAGGTCCTCTAGTCCAGCCCCCCTGCTCAAGCAGCAGACCCTTGCAGAATAACAGATGTTGGGAAGGGACCTCGGAGGTCCTCTAGTCCAGCCCCCTGCTCAAGCAGCAGACCCTTACAGAATAACAAGAGTTGGGAAGGGACCTCGGAGGTCCTCTAGTCCAGCCCCCCTGCTCAAGCAGGAGACCCCCCTCTATCATTTCAGACCTGAATCTACCCACCCACTTCCCTTCCCCTTCCCTCTCCCAATTGCTGGGTGGGGGGGCAGGAAAGCACTCTGTCCATGCTCCATCCTGGTCCCACGCTCCCTCCCCCCCCCTTTTCCGGCTTGAGATCTCACCTGAGGGTCCTCCAGGTGGACCAGACGCCGCCCCTCCACCTCCCCTGAGCCGGGGAAGAGGGGTTTTGTGGTCCCACGGCCTGGGTCTTGGTCCTCCCACCTGTCCCCCCCTCCCGGCTGGGCGCTCAGCACACCCGGCGGGTACCGTCCGAGGATGCTGCTGCTGCTGCAGGGATGCGGGCGGAGAAAGGATGCTGGAGCATCACCTGGCGGGCAGGTAGACCCCCCCCAACTGGTCCACAGGCCTCACCCCGAAGCCGGGGGCAGACAGGCCATGGCGAGGCTCGCCTCCCCACCCCCCCTTTCCCAGGCCTGCCCCAGCCCCCTCCCCTGGCCCTGCCCAGCCTCTGGCCCGGCTACATCGCCTCCTGCCATTGGTCCTGCCCGCTGCTCCAGCATCTCTCCGTGCCCGGGATTGGACAGGGTGCCCGCCAGTAGGCCGGGCAAGGCAAACAATGGTGCCTTGACGAACCCGGCAGCGCCACCCCAGTTGAGGAGGGGCCTGGGAGGGAAAAAAAAAAACCTGGCAGCTGGAAATTTTTCTCTTTTTGTGTGTCTTTGTGTGTGTGTGTGTGGGGCAGGGAGGGCAGGGTGTGTTTGTGTGCTGGAGGCTGCGACAGGGAGGGGGGGCAGGATTCAAAGGGAGCAGAGGGTGGGGAGGTTTGGTGGAAGGGCCGCAACTTGAAGAGGGGAGGACTTCCACTCCCAGAATCCCCCAGCTGGTATGCTTTAAGAGGGGAGGACTTCAATTCCCAGAATTCCTCAGCCGGCTTCCTTTAAGAGGAATGGACTCCCAGCATCCCCCAGCCAGCATGCTTTAAGAGGGGAGGACTTCAACTCCCAGAATCCCCCAGCAAGAATACTTTAACAAGGGAGGACTTCCACTCCCAGAATCCCCCAGCTGGCATGCTTTACGAG